ATCTTTTGGCCAAGCTTTGTGGCTTTCCTCAAGTCTTGGAAGCGATGCAAGCCAACGCGCGACAAGATCCGACCCAATCATTCCACGAATTGGTGCCACGACTCTTCCCCTTCCTACGCCATACCATCACCAGTGTCCGTGCGGCAGTGCTGCGTGCGCTGATTACTTTCCTCAACATCCAAAGCGAAGGCTCGGACGGCTGGGTAGATAGCAGGGCATTGCAACTCATATTCCAGAACATCCTGCTTGAACGCAACGAAGGTGTCTTGAAACTCTCCCTCCAGCTTTGGAATGCTATTGTCGCAGCCTTGGGTAGCCAACTGGCGCCTCTTATGGAACCCATATTAGATGCTGTCATTCCTCTCACGCTCACGCCTATTGGAGTATCACGTCACCCAATATCGTTGAACAAGTCACTACTCATCAAACCTTCCGGACAAGCCATGGGCCCGCCACCCGACTCTGAGCCGAGCCGTAAGTCGTCTCCACCAGATGGTAGTGAGCCAGCTCAGAAGAGGAGAAAGAAGTCGCGTATTGGAAAGGACGAAACGTCAACACCTACTCCAGCCTCACAGTCTCATAACGTCGACGGACACATGATTACTGGTGATCTCGAACTCATAGGCGCGGACGTCATGATCCGTTCCAGGACTTCTGCAGCACAAGCTCTCGGTAAAGCGATGGGAGCCTGGCCTGAAGAGTCGAGGCTCGAGACCTTCAGATCTAGGCTGCTGGCCCCATTGTCCTCTCAGAACTCGTCAACCCAACTGACGGCTGCGATCATCATTGAGGAGTTTGGAAAGAACCTGGCAACTAAAGATGCCTTGGCTGAGTCGTTCGTCCAGGCTCTGCTGCCTATGGTTGAGGGCGAGAGGCCTGCCGCCTACGAGGATCTCGTGCCCAAGCTGCAGATTGTTCGGACTCAATGCCACTCTTTGTTGAGCATCTTCCACGACGCCCATGTTCAAAACCTGCCACAGATCGCTGCCCTTGTCCAGGGCATGCCGAATGCGAACCACTATGCCTTTGGCGTCGCAGATGCCGAAAAGCTGCTCAATGTGCAGTTCGAGAAGCTAAAGAAGGCCATGACGCCGTCCGCCCGCATGGTTGCAGGAGCAAATCTGGACACAGCACGCAAGGAAGTAGAGACGAGCATTCAAGAAGCCAAGGACATAAAGGAAGAACGGGATGTTCGCATCAAGGCCGCTGCAGCCGGTGCACTTGTGGCGCTCAACTCACCTCCGAAGAAGCCATCGCCGCCGATCAAGGCTATGATGGATAGCGTCAAGAAAGAAGAGAACGTTGAGCTACAGAGACGTTCGGCAGCTGCAGTTGCTGGCTACATCGTGTTCCTGGTCAACGCCAAGAGATCTGGTGTGGTCAACAAGGTTGTCGGCAATTTGGTCAAATTCTACTGCATGGAGACAGCCGAAACACCCGAGTTCGCTGGACAGTCACACATCGAGACAGGCATTCTTACGCTCAAGAAAGATGAAGATGTGCGCGATCACCCCGACGCTGCTCGATTCGCAGAAGAGTCGCGGGCAGCCAGGATCACCAAGCGTGGTGCGCGAGAGGGTCTTGAGAAAGTCGTCGAGAGCTTCGGCGCTGAGATTTTCGAGAAGGTGCCTATCCTGAAGGACCTGATTGAACGACCCATCAAGGACGCCTTTACCGAGGCCACACTTCCGGCGCAAATCTTCAACGAAGACGGCGTCTTTGGCCAGGAAGTTGTTGATGCCCTGTCGACTCTACGTGCTCTGGCCGGCAGTTTCCACCCAAGCGTCAGAGGCTTCGTCAAGGACCTTCTTCCACTCATTGCCAAGGCTCTTCAAAGTAAATTGTATGTCTTGCGATACGCAGCGGCCAAATGTTTCGCCACTGTCTGCAGCGTCATGTCCGTCGAAGGTATTACCATGCTTGTCGAGAGCGTGCTACCAACCATCAGCGACGGTGGAAACGTGTACGCCCGCCAGGGAGCCATCGAGTGCATCTATCATCTCATCCATGTTATGGAAGACGCGATCCTACCATATGTCATCTTCCTCATCACCCCGGTTCTTGGTCGTATGAGCGACTCTGACAACGACGTCCGACTACTGGCTACAACCAGCTTCGCCACGCTTGTGAAGCTTGTACCACTAGAGTCTGGAATCCCCGACCCACCTGGCCTTCCGGACACCCTTCTCAAGGGCCGAGACCGAGAGCGCAAGTTCGTCGCCCAGATGCTGGATGCGAAGAAAGTGGAGCCTTTCGAGATCCCTGTTGGTATCAAGGCGACGCTCCGTTCATACCAACAAGAGGGTGTCAATTGGCTGGCGTTCCTCAACCGGTACAATCTCCACGGTATTCTCTGCGACGACATGGGTCTCGGTAAAACGCTACAAACGCTATGCATGGTGGCAAGTGATCATCACATGCGTGCAGATGAGTTCGCCAAATCCGGCGATCCCAACTTCCGACGTCTACCATCTCTCATTGTATGCCCGCCCACGCTGTCTGGTCATTGGCAGCAAGAGATTCGCCAGTATGCACCCTTCCTTAGCTGCGTAGCCTATGTTGGTTCGCCACCTATCCGCGGCCAGCACAGGAATCAGCTCGACAAAGTGGATATTGTCATTACTTCGTACGATATCTGCAGGAATGACGCCGACATTCTCAAGCCCATCACCTGGAACTACTGCGTACTTGACGAGGGTCACTTGATCAAGAACTCAAAGTCCAAGACCAGCCAGGCTGTCAAGCAATTCCAGTCGAATCACCGCCTCATCCTCTCCGGTACACCTATTCAAAACAACGTGCTCGAGCTATGGTCGCTCTTCGACTTCCTCATGCCCGGTTTCCTTGGTACGGAGAAGGTCTTCCAGGAACGTTTCGCGAAGCCTATCGCTGCCTCCCGGTTCGCCAAGAGCTCGTCGAAGGAGCAAGAACGGGGTGCGCTGGCGATCGAAGCTCTTCACAAGCAGGTGCTTCCGTTCCTCCTTCGCCGTCTCAAGGAAGAGGTACTGGATGACCTGCCACCTAAGATCCTGCAAAACTACTACTGCGATCTATCTGAGTTGCAACGCAACCTTTTCGACGACTTCACCAAGCGCCAAGGCAAGGAGATTCAGTCTAAGGCCGGTAACGCCGACCGCGAGAGCAAGCAACATATCTTCCAAGCTCTTCAGTACATGAAGAAGCTGTGCAACTCACCTTCGCTCGTCGTCAAGGGTCCCACCAACAAGGCATACGAGCCGACTCAGCAATATCTCAAGAAGCACAACACTACGATCGACGACATCGCGCATGCACCCAAGCTCGGCGCTCTCAAGGATCTGCTTGTGGACTGTGGTATCGGCGCATCTGACGTGGTCAGCGACAAGTCTGCCGCCGCTAATGGCGACCTACCGGAAGCTGTCTCGCAGCATCGTGCCCTCGTCTTCTGTCAAATGAAGGAGATGCTCGACATGGTTCAGCACAACGTGCTCGAGAAGTTGCTTCCGTCTGTGCAATTCATGCGCCTTGATGGTGGTGTCGAAGCTACCAAGCGCCAGGAGATTGTCAACAAGTTTAACACCGATCCTTCATACGATGTTTTGCTTCTGACAACCAGTGTTGGTGGTCTGGGTCTCAACTTGACTGGTGCCGATACCGTTATCTTCGTTGAGCACGACTGGAACCCGCAAAAGGACATTCAAGCCATGGACCGCGCGCATCGTATCGGCCAGAAGAAGGTCGTCAATGTTTACCGAATCGTCACGCGCGGTACCTTGGAAGAGAAGATCTTGAAGTAAGTAACCTAACCCCTCCACTTGTAATTTCTCACTAACAATTTTCCCCAGTCTCCAAAGATTCAAAATCGATATCGCTTCCACCGTCGTCAATCAACAAAACGCGGGTCTCCAGTCCATGCAAACAGACCAGATTCTCGATCTCTTCAACGTCTCGGCCGATTCGAACGATCCTGCAGCACTACCAGCACCGCCCAGCAACGCCAAAGACGATCGAACAGGCATCGATGAGAACGACGCCGTCGACGCAACCGGTGCGCTGAGGGAGAAGGGCAAGAAGGGCTTCTTGGACGAACTAGGCGATCTCTGGGACGAGAAGCAGTATGAGGAAGAGTTCGATCTCGACGGCTTCCTCGGCAAGATGAAGGCTTAAGCCATGCCCGGTGGTTTTGAGTCCCTTCCACACTACAACTACCTTGCGCCTGCCTACCAGGCCAAGACACATCATCTTTGGGCGGATTAACAGGCGTACACTGGCGTTTCTTCTTTCCACTACGGGGCATGACATGACATGCATATGGTATCAATGTCTCATTGATCGATCGGGTTGGTATGATGTTTTTTGCATTCTCACAGGATAGGTACTATGGAAATGTCTGTATTAGCATGGCGTTGGATGAGGGCTTTTTGTCTTTTTGTCTTTTTGTATCCTTTGCTCCGAGTGTTGAGGGAGCTGGGAAAGTGGGTCATGTATGTCTAGCCTGTGTGAGTAGAGTATGATGTATGCTGAGAGAGTTGTTATGAGTGCTTTGTTGCTTTGCATACTGTGATGGTGAAAGTGGTGACGTGGTGGAGGCTACTCATCAGCACGATGTCAACGCTTGTGAGATAGCGCAGAATAACTTCGCACTTTATGGGTGCACTACCGCAGAATAACTTAGCACTTTACGAGTACACTACCAATTCTAGGTATGTACAGATGCGCTATGAGGTTCATGTTACGCTGAGAATTGTACTCGTCTGTCCAGTCATCTCATGTATCATCACTACATGAGCGCATTCTAAGGGCTTCATGAATTCGTCATATTTGGCTACTGCTCCCTCTGCATTCAATTACCCACCAATCAACGCGCTTGGAAAGGAGGATCGAGTAAAGCTATTAAGTGGGCTAATGGCGAAAGGTTCGTTACGTCGTCTATAGTCGTTGCATGTTCGTCGCAGTAGTAGTGACCTGCCAATGATGTAATCTTTGAGCGGCTACCGATCCGACAGTCTCGATCACGGTCACTACTCATTTGGAAGCCATCCCTCTCTCCACACCCACTCCGGCATAGATTCTTCCCATCTCACCACAATGCCAACTCCCGGAGGGACAAATCCACCCACATGCCCATCTCTTGTCGGCAAGGCGACGAAAGCACCTTCCTTTAGCAACGGCTTCTGGCCTTGGCTTATCGGCACGTACCCCGCGAGTTGGATATTGACGCCGAAGTCGTAGCACTTGGAGCGGAAACCCCGACCCATGATATTGAAGGCCGTCACAAAGTCCATCTCGCACCACTGATGACGTGTGTAGTAGACTTCTGATATCTCGGCTATTGCCTGGCGATCCCAGATGCGTACGAACTCGATGGTGGGGTTGCTGAGTGTAGGGCGGGACAGACGCTTGATGTGGTGGTAGAGGAGTTGTATCGAGGCCGTGGTGATGAAGGTGCGTATCGTGCGTTTTTCAGCATCGCTCAACCCGTAGTTCGGCAAAGAGGGTACAATTTTATTTATGCTGCCGGGTAAGAATACGTCCGTGTCCACAAGATATTTTTCGGGCAAGTCTGATATATCCCAATCCGCAGTGGTTTCGCGAGCTTCGGCGAGGTCTTGGAGGAACTTGGATGTTCTGCTCTCGTAGTCGACAAGAGTTTCCGGGGCAGCGTGTTGGCCAACTGGAACGAGACCGAGTCTTGAGCGGAGGTGATCAAAGTCGCGTGCCGCAGCTCTTACAATCGGTGCTAGGGACTTGGCGTGGGTGTAGCGATCAATGCTGCCTGCAACCTTGGGCGATGCCTCAAGGATGAAATTTCGGATCGTCCTGTGGACGAGCGGCGCTGCCTCTTTGTGAATTTCCTTGCAGACTCGAAGAATAGAAGTGTTAGTGCTGCGGTAAATGAGCGTGAAAGATGGCTGGTGTCGAAGACGCCAGTAGTCACCGGGGTGAGGCTCGATTGTCGTATTACTGATGATCCGAGGAAGATTTTCGTACACCATGAACCTGACCTCCTTGGGTAGGTCAAGGAAGCGGAAGGGCTCATCAGGCATTCGTGGATGTGTCGTGTTGCGTGGAGGCTGAGGTTGCGGCTGGTATGAGAGAAGGAAATGCAGGTGCTTAGCATTTTTTTTTTCTCTGAATGGAAGCTGCCTTGGGTATCACTGGGAAATGCAGGTGCAAAGGGTTTTGTATTGTATTCAGGTGCAAGATTCATCGCGGAATGAAGCCGTACGGTTTGAACCACGGTTCCATGGTCGCATGTAATGTGATGCTTGTCCAGTCATTGGTGTTGGTTGTAACCTTGGTCGCTGATTTCATGGTTCCACACTTTACGGTAGCGCATCGTCTTCTGAATGCACATCTCACTCTTACCTTGTTGAGTGCAGCACGTGTGTCACGACATCTGACCGCGTATCTTTTGAACACACTCGCATCACACCTTGTCCGTACTTGCTCACAAGTCCTGTTCAGCTTTTGACTCAACCAAGACAATAGACTGGGCAACCGTGTCGCATGAGAAGGATTGCTATAGGCGCTCGGGCGACGTGATTATCAACCACTGGGAATCGGTGGCTTCGGATATGGACTGGCGTTCACCGTGGCTTCCTTTGCTCAGGTTCCGGGCGGAGCTCGCGAGTTTACATTGGCGTATGATCTGCAAGTGTCTCCTGCGGTATGTAAATAGGTAAGTAATCGCATCTCCAGTTCCATGCAGGTAGGGCGATGTGGGTGAGTAGAGAAGTTAGGGCCTGGGTCACGTCCCTCGGGTGAAGACCCAGCACTGTCTTGATCGTTTGGAGTGGTAACAGAGCTTCTGGCATAAACCGTGCTGGAGCAACATCCACAGGCAGAAATCCTAGGCATGATGGAAGTGCTGGTGGCATATTCCAGTGGCGGTGTGACGGGTGCAGGTGGTCCTTCGAGAGGCCGAGAAATGGTCAACATAGGCCGGGGTCTCCATGCAGCCGAGGGTGGCACCTCCACAGATTCGGGCAGGCACAGCTAGCAGTGGCTATGGAAGCCATCCAGTCGGGGAAGAACAGTCGCTTTGGAGAAGAACGATGCAACGCAAGAAAGTATACACAGGAAGAACAGAACTCTGTGTACTATGAGATGTGCATCGGATGCTTCGCGACCAAGTCAAATGCCGACAGTTGTTCAGGCGTCCGTGTGGGTCACGAGCTCGTGCCAGAGACACAGTTGTGCACCAATCACAAGCTGCTCATACGCAACTCCGTTCTCGATGTCGAATGATCTGACCGCCTTATCTCGCTACGACGAAGCCGCTCCATCACGAGCCTGATCAAGCCAGCTGTGCGCTTAGCATCTATATGATCGGCATTGATTATGTGGCAGCGGAGAAAGCGAATGGGAGGGTCTCCTGGCAGTTGTCGCCGAAGCCCACCGGAGCGTTTTCCGGCTGAATGCAGGTGTGCGGCACATGCAAATGAATGCGAGGCGGTCAACACGCATCGTGGTCAAAACGAAAGGCGCCATATTGCTGCTCCGGCCATGGAAGCTGAAGCGCGCAAAAAGAGTAATCCGACTAACAAACTATGGCAACGACTATGACGGAATCTGGAGATCGGATCGTTAAGTACCGCCGGCGTAAAGGCGCTGGACTTGAGGCCGAAATGAAGGTCGACTGCACAGGGCGTGGTGGAGACGAAAGGGGACAGCGCAGAAAGCGGCTAGACCGCATTGGTAAGCGACTAATGCTTAATCTCCACCCTCGGCAAAGTGGCGTGGCCAATGCCATTATCGATTCTGGAGCCACGGCGCCTCACACAAAGGACCGTTCGGTCGTGCAACACCGGCTCCGGCGCGAAAACAACATCAAGGGCAGGTGACGTCTTCCGTAAGCAAAAGACCAAGTGTGTTGTTTGGTTCTCACAGGCTCGAGCGTGCGTGAACGGCGCAATGAGATGTTTGCAAAACTAAACATGCGCTGACGCACCCTGCAGATTCTGCAACACTGACACCGTAAAGACACTATTTCAGGAAAATGATCTCCAGAGGCTTTGCTGGGAGGCCCAAGTGCCGGTGGAGAACCTCTGTTCAACGGGCAACACGATAAGGGCCGCCCCTGAAGATACCCTGACGAGATCGCCACCTAGAGGCTCAGCTCGCACAGAGCAGAGGCCGTGAGGGCAAACGTGCCTCGCGATGTTCTCGAAATGGAAATGCTGCGTTCCTCCGCCTATAGCGCGTAATTAGAACAACAGCCGCCGGCCTGGGGATGGCGGCCTGTGTGTAGCAAGACGACAACAACACAGTCTGGACTGAACGACCAACACAGGCCGTTCATTTCTGCAACACGAGAAGCCACCGCGAGCCTCCACAGCCAACCTGCCGATCTGGTCTTAGCACCAGGCACGCACCGCCTGCGAGTGGCCAGCGGGGCGGCAGGCCAGCTTGGTTCCTGCATTAGCCCTGACATCCGCCAGACCACTTGCAGCGCCCAGATGCTTCGGCCCCTGTCGCCCGTCCTGTTTCCCCCTTTCAGTGGCCACTTGTTTCCGGTCCGCGCTACCGTGCTGTAATCTCCTGACGGTATATATCCAGGCAGCGAGGTCGCCTTGCTGTTTTTTCCACTTCACAGCCAAACTTTCGAGCTTCAAGTCCTTTGACCTTCGGTCGTCCATTCGTTGTTACCAACTAATACTATCATTAATAATACACACTCGCCAACTCTCTCCCACCACCTCCACCACCAACCAACACTTCCAACTCTACCGTTTCAAGTTCTAATACCCAACAATCAACATGCGTTACTCCATCGCCATCGCTGCCTTCGCCGGCCTTGCCGCTGCCGTTCCCCAATACGGCGCCTACCCCGCCGCCCCGGCCAGCACCCCCGCTGCCCCGGCCTACCCTGCCTACCCTGCTCAGCCCGAGTCCAGCAAGCCCGCCTACCCTGAGGTCCCTGCTGAGAGCTCCAAGGCTCCTGAGTACCCAGCCTACCCCGCTGAGACTCCCTCCGCTCCTGCTCCTGAGTACCCCGCCTCCAAGACCCCCGAGGTCCCTGAGCACGAGTCCTCCGCTATGCCTACTCCTTCGGCCTCCAAGCCTGCTGAGTACCCCATGGAGACTCCTTCCAAGCCCGCTGAGGTTCCCTCCGTCTCCACCAAGACCCCCGAGGTTCCTGAGCACGCCACCTCTGAGGTTCCCTCTTACCCTGCCTCCTCCATGACCCCTGAGGTCCCCGAGGCCGAGACCACCTCTTGCCTCAGCTCCACCACCATCACCGTCACCGTCCCCTACCCCACCGGTACTCCCGTCGTTCCTGGTGCTGGCAAGCCCTCCGGCTACCCCATGGTTCCCGGTGCTGGCAAGCCTTCCGGCTCTGCTCCTTACCCATCTGCCCCTGCCGGCGGTGCTCCCTACCCCTCTGTCCCTGCTGGCACTGGTGCTCCCCCTGCTGCCGGCACTGGCTACCCCACCAAGACCGGTGGCTACGTCAAGCCCTCCACCCCCGCTGAGTTCACTGGTGCTGCCTCTGCTCTCAACGTCGGTGGCTTCGTTGCCGGTGTTGGTGCTTTCGCTGCTTTCTTCTTGTAAATGTCATAACCTTCAATTGAGCCTGTCTACGGGCAGGCTATGACTTTACACGATACATTGCATCGAGGATTGGTCTTCACTTCAGTAGATATCCTTGGTGTCGGAAAGGGTAATTGTAATTAGTCCGGGGATGGTGTGGTTGAATAAGAACTTGGAAAATAATCTTTCGTGCCTCATGATCGTGACGCTTCTATGCAATCCTCTGAACTTGATGAAATGCAACATTGTCCCTCAATCCCCATCCACCTTTTCCTCTTGCTTGACTCCTAGTCTGAAAGGCTTTCCAATGGAAACCTCGAACCGATGCTAATTGAACTTGGACCTTGTGGCCTCTCAACGGTAGTCATGATCTGCTCTGGCATGCGATGTCGTCGCACATGGCTACACAGTGTCAGCTTATAGGCATGTCTTCTTTGCTTATGCTCCTGCGAACGTGCCTGCTTCTTTCAGTGCCGCAAAGTCAAGGATAGCGCTGCATGCGATGCGATGACGCATGACCGCCGTAGCGAATGCTGCCCATCGATTACTGCAAACTCTCGAGGTCGCTTCCTAAGAACACCAAAACTTCACCCCACGTTCTCTTGCACATCAACTTCGACCACCACCTCATCACGGACGGTGATGACCCTGCATGGCGATAATTGTTGGAAGCGTAGCCTGGAAGCTATGTTTCGGCCACGAACTATATTTCGATAGCCATGGTTGTTTCATCAGCCGTGCACCGTCGCCGCGCTGCGAACGCCACCCTCTACAGTTTTCAAGCTTTGCGCTAGATCAGCGCGCACCAGGGACATCTAGCATAGTTCCTTCTACGGGTGCTCGGTTCGTTGGCGCACGTCTAGTATCTGGATGCAGGAGCTACGACACGACCATGGAAACACAACGAGCTAATTGCGGCATGCCGAATGCCTCCGACAGATGCCCTCGTCCAGCTTGAGCAGACTTACCCAGCTCTGAAAAGGCACATTTCAATACTGAACTGCATGACGGACGACTCCAACAGTCTTGGGAATGCTTAGTCAATACTCGCGTCAACGGGTAAAAGGTGGGGTTCCGGTATCCTTTGCTGCATGAAACCGCCAACCACCAATAGTACTCAAAAACATCGTCTAGACGTCTGACTTTACAGGAATGAGCGCAGGGTCACGATACTACCGCCCGAATCCAGAGCTTACCCAGCTAGCCACGTCTCACCTGAGAACCTACTCAGTCCTGCCTGACATTCCTGGCAAATCGTATGAATTGGAGGCGTCAGTGGGCTTGCCATTTTTGGAGTCAAGAAATATCTGCTTGTCAGCTTACTTTTAGATGATAGGTCCTTTGTTTCGGATGTGTAGGCGAGGATACGACTCGGTACGCGAACGTTGGACGATCGTTGCCGATGTGCGAGCCAGCCTGACGGACCTGAGCTGGAATAATGGTATGGAAAAATTGAGAAGTATAAAGTGAGAGAGTAAACTTCCTGAAGTCAACCACGCGTTCGCTTTGGTTTCTGAACCACTCATCCTACCTGATCGATTTATCAAAGCCATCAAATCGGACTCCCTCGCTTCATCATGAAGACCTTCACGCTTTTCTCGGCCTTCCTGGCCACGGCCATCGCTGCCCCAGCCACACTTGCGCCAAGTGATATCACACCACGCACATTGGGCGTCCTCAAGGGTCTTGCCAAATGTCCGGCAAACCCAGCTCAACCCGACGGGAAATTACCAAAGGGAAGCATATCGACCTCAGCCCTGGTGCCCATCAGCGCGAGAAACCCCGACAATGCCTACCCAGCTACCGAATGGGCGACCGTCACCCCAAAAGACAAATGCACAATCTTCAACCTCGAGCTCGACTCCGACGCCACCCAAGGCAAAATCTGCAACCTCGTCTTCGACTTCCCTTCTCTCGTCCAAGCACCCGGTCTCTTCGTCTTCAAAGGACCTGGGCATTTCACGTTCACTGGTTATGCCATCAACGCTGGTGCAGAGCCTGGTGTTACTACGTACAACAAGCAACCGGCTCCAGGCCCCAGTCCGCCCAACCCACCGCCAGTCCTGAAGCCAGGCAACAGCTACGTTATCAACGGTGCGCCGTGTGGAATACCGCCTGGTATTGGCAAGGTGACTGTCAGTGGAGCATTGTGTTCCGAAGACACGACGTTGACGTTCAAGCAAAGCGACTTGATCTGTCCGTTGGGCTTTTACGTTGTGCTTACTGATGATCCTAATGCGGGAGGGTATGCGGCTCCTCACTAAATGTCTGGTGTCGTTCAATGATCATAAGTAGCATTGATTCAGTACGTTAGCGTAAAGACTCCAATTCATGTTTGCGAATTCCAACTTTGACATTCTCTCGCGCCTTCATGAAGAAACGGGGCTACATGTAGCGCGGTCGGGTTCGCTCTTTCCCTACCGTCATTCTGCATCGATGCAACTCCATCATCGTCCGCTCACTATCGTTAATGCCGTTATGAGGGGTGTGAAGAGATATGCTATCTTGAGAATCGCAGCGCTATGGACACGCATCGACGTGCATTGGAAGTCTCCGACACCCGATCGCTCTTGCGTGTTTGCGACGTTGCGCGGGGAAGCGTACTAACCCGATCAATCTCTACAGCGTCAAGAACTCGACTTACTTTGTATCGATCAACCAAACCGTCCCATTTGTACCATCGCAATATAAAAAATCTGTTTCGTTTATCATTTTCAGGATTCAGATGCGCATATTCGTCCCACGTCAAGTTCGTCTAACTACCTAAAGGCTCAAGATGGAAGCGCACAACAACACAACAACTAAACGTCTCAAGAACGCAACATGGTACTTCTTCGATCTCGACGACACGCTCCACGAATTTCGCAAGGCATCTTCCGCCGCCGTAAACGCGACACTCCGCCTCATCCTAGAAAACCACGCTCATCATGAACTTTCTCCTGGCAAGCCGCTCACAGTCGCCGAGCTGAGAGCGGAATACCTCAAGATCCTCAAAACCGGCACATCTGCCGCATTCGTGGACGGAAAAACAAGCCACGAGTACCGCGCCGAGCGCTTTCAGGGTGTTATGAACGCTTTTGGTATCGACTGTACGAAGCAGCAGATGCAGGTATTGCTCGACACGTATGAAACTGCGATTACACGGAATCTGCAACTCAAAGAAGGTGCTATACCACTCCTTCAAACACTCAAACAACGAGGAAAGAGCATAGCGATCATCACCGAAGGCCCTCAAGATTCGCAGGAACGTACCGTTGCTGCCTTGGGTCTAGAGCCGTATTTCGACAGGCTCGTTACAACGAATAAGCTTGGTGTGGCGAAGATTGACGGTCTTTTTGGCAAAGCGTTAGAACTGATTGGTGTGAAGGGTGAGGAGGTGGTCATGGTGGGAGACAGTTGGGAAAGAGATGTTGTTCCTGCGGTGGAAGCGGGTATCAAGTGTGTGTGGTTTGCTGAGAAAGAGGAGGGAGGCGAGAGGATGGTTGCTGTTGGAGGGGAAGAGAAGAGAGTAATGGTAGTGGATTCGTTGGTTCGGTTGCAAAGCTTAGTCCTAGAGACCTCGTGTTGATGGTTGACAAGTCTGCAGTACATATTGCGCAAATACGCAACAGAGAAAAAGCATGAAATATACAATCATCTTAGAAATCTATCTGATGTGTGATGAGGAAATGTGACATGGGTTTTACGCCTGTTGGGCTCCGGTGGTGTCCTTGCCAAATCCGACGAAGTCAATATCCCAAACCATCCCATCGGGCAAACGATTCCCGTCCTTGTCGAGGGGATACCCTTCCTTGTCAAGGATGTTTCCATCCTCGTCGACGAGGTTCCCATCTTTGTCGATAAGGTCCCCCTCCTCGTTGATGAGTCTCCCATTCTCGTCAACCAGGTTCCCATCCTTGTCGATAAGCCCTCCCTCCTCATTAATAAATCTCCCTTTCTTGTCGACAACATTCCCATCCTCGTCGATAAACTGTCCCTTCTCGTTGACGAGCTTCCCTTCTTTACGAAGGTTCCCATCCTCGTCTCTATATGGCATCGTTTCCATGGCAGCCGGCGCCATAGTGCGCAGGTAACCATCAGTCGGCTTCCTTTGCTTCAATTTCTAGTTTCTCTAGTCAGCTTTGCTGGACTTGGAGAAGAAAGGTCCATGTAACACTGCGGCAAAAGAATCCTTCAAAAGAAGAAGTCACGTACCTTCTCCCTCCAAAACCTCGAGCTCTGTTTGAAGTGTACACCCTTGAAAGAGACGGCATGTCCTCCAGGTTCCTACTTGTTCTTAGTAATGATAACTGTCGGATAGGAATAGGTATGCATACATTGTATATTCTGTGCTGGTTCATATCGCTCTGGGAGTCGCGCGAAGTAGTGAGTCCGAGTTTGCCGATATTTGTCGCCCCGAGTTCGGCTCCGAGATCAGTCGTACTGCCCGTCTTGTTCCACATGGCAATATCGCACTCCTCCGTCACCCATGTGTCCATGACGACCCAGACGCCATAGTCCTTGATTTGTTGAGGATGGTTACCGATCATAGCTGTCATATTATCTTCGATCCATTTCATAATGATACCGAGCGCCTTGGTATTGAAATAGTGGTGTATCACGTGTGGAGATACTGCCACGCCTGCGCGAAGGTTCGCAGTGCTTCCTATTTCGAAATTGGCTCCCACATCCACAGGTGCTTGAGCAGCAATTCCGGACACCTCTGCTTTGCCGCCAAAGCCGCGACCCTCGTGATTCTCCGAAAGCTGTTTCTTCCATGTGCACGTTGTCGGGTCCGCCAGAACGAGCGGCTTGCTGGGGGGTTGGTAGTCAGGGTCTTTGATGTCCGCAAGATCAGTAATCAATCTCCAGAGTCCGTCATCGTCGAAGTAGCCGCAAGAGCCAGGATGAAAGACTTTGGAATTGGGTGGTGTGTACAAGTAGGTGCCGTCGGGGCACTTCTCCATGAGAGTGGCGTATGCTAGATCCATTTCGCTGTCGTGGTTGTTTAGAAATATAAAAGGTTCAGGATGAAATGCAAA